GAGGCGAGAAGGTAGTATTGCCACGCGGCCGGAGCTCGGCCGCCGCTCCCATTGCGATGGTGCTCGCACTTGCCGTGTGAGCAAAGGGCTCATCATGTGATGTCACCGTACCGCTCGAAGAATGAGATCCACCGCCACTTTGTCCTTGCCGCTCGCTATTGCCTCGTCTCGCCTCGTCTCGCTTTGACTGCCCGCCGGTCAACATGCGAGGAGAGGGGGACATGAGATCCGCCATGCGGCTAGGCCTCACGTTAAGTGAGGCCTGGCTAGCTTGCCGTTTAGAAATTCATCGCTCCAAGAAGGAGCAGCGGCCGAACAATCACCGCTGGTCCTTATTTTTTTTCTATTTGAAGCCCATTAAGGACGACGACAGCATCGCCAGGGTCCATTTGCCCCTTCTTTTTGTGAGTTGTGCCATATTTTGATTCCAGCTCCTAACATCTCACAATTTTCAAGATGTACTTTACACAAAATAGCCCTTATCAAAATCCTAGATGACCTACAATCATGAACTTAGTATTTGCGTTGTTGTTTCATATTTTGACGTATTCTTCTTCGGTGCAGAGCAGATGGCTATGGCGGCTCTAAGGCTTCAACTCCACTTCACTCCACTAATTAGCACAAACAGTGCATTGGCAATATGTTCTCCTCCGTGGTGTGTGTCTCTTTGAACCAGTAGTCTCAAAATGACGGGCATGTCTGAATCAATCAAGTAAGTAAGCGGCTGGGACAAACGCGAGGCATCAGTATTCAAAGTCGACAAAATTGGATGCTTCGAGTCCATTGTCAAAGGTTGATGACATATGCAAAATTTCCATATACTTCAACAGCTTTTTTTTCCCGTCTTGCTGTAAAACAAAGAAGTCCACTCAAAGAACATAAATTCTAAAGATGAGAGATGCCAACAATGATTCTTCTCTCCCTTATATAGCTCTCACCAACAAGTTAAAGTAGATAAGATCTTATCCCCACCATCCATCCGACTCTTAGTGAATGGATGACGTGGCGGATAACCCTAACAAGCACACGGATGGCTGACCTGACACTCCCAACCAACACACTAACTAACACACTCAATCCTTTCCTAAGAAGCACACACATCGCTGACATGGCGCTGTCAACTAACACATCTACTCTACGTACCAAGTGTGCGGATCACTGGCATGACAACTATGACTAGTGCACGCTAAAGTATCTATATCAATATTTAAAATAACTTCCACTTTGATTCTAACTAACTAAAGATGGTTACACTCGTGCACCCGCACGCAATTTTGTATACTTGCTCTATGTATGTAGTCTGATCCATCAGCTGCTTAGTGGCGATTTAGCTTCCACTTTTGAGAAGAGGATCTCTGTATATCCAACTTTAATGCCTGTGCTCAATTGTGATTATCATATCAAGATCGTGAGTACACAAAAAATGAGTGTAGACCTGGACAATTTTCTTCAAGTCTTCATGCAATAAGTGTGTACATTACGTACATATACTCCTTCACGGAAATCAAACGTATCTCAACTTCAACCAAGAGTACAAGAGATCCATGAGATCATGAAATGACCTTAAACAAATCGGAATGCTCATTGTCGGTAGTACATCTGACCAAGGTTTTATCATCCAACACAATTTCAATAGCAGTGTAAGTCTCAACGAACAAGCCTTACATGTGACTGCTTCCCTCAATGTTGTAGCCATTGATGACACCTTCAACGATGAGATCATCAATCTTGGAAAAAACTGCGGGTGAAAGATTGAGTTTTAGAGTAGCATGGTTCATGTGAGACATGCACAGCATAGGCTCAACTTTCATGAGCTTTTTCTCTTTGTCGAGACAATGATCAAGAGGTGCCTGAGCTTGACCTCGAACCTGGTTGACCTTTTGTGTTTGTTGTTTCTTAAAGCCACTCCCAACCACATGGATTGTGTAGTGCAGATGAGCCCGACGGTGATGGACTTCCTTTCACGAATTTTCTTCTGCATCTTCTTGATTGCTTTGGCATGAGTCTAATCGTTTGAAGTACCATGAAGAAAGCGATGGATTGTGAGCTGTCAGGCCTTGTACTGATAGAACATGAACGACAACGGCAGCACAATGAGCACCACAACAATTCATTTGAATTGGACAATGAAATCAGCAAAAGAAGTAGTTCTCTTCTCCTGCTTCCAATGTGCCATCATCGTGTTTTCGGTTGATGACATTGTCGATCCCAAATTCAACATCAGCCGCGCTCATACATACATCCACAAGGACTACAAATCAAATGAGACACACGACGGCTCCGGCCTTCTGATCCAAAACCTGAACAAGGAATGCACAATCTTCCGAAACAAAAGAGCTGTCAAAAAATGTGACAAACTTACGTAACAAGCTTCATCACTTTTGCCAAAAAACCGTCATTGCCAAAAAGTAAAAAACCTTTGAAAATGAAAGAACGTCACGAAATCTCGTACCAGAAAACATGTAAGTAAATCAACGGAACTTGTCACTGAAAAACCTCGTCGGCATACACAATTTACTAACTTCAGACTCCAAACCCAAAACCGGCTCTACTACCAATTGTTCATAGAAAATCCAAAAAAAACACAATGACATAAAAATAATGTGGTTCATCTTCATGAAAAGGGCTCCAATACCAATTATTTGTAGAAAATCCAAAAATGACACAACGACACAGAATTAATGTGGTTCATACTGAGGAAGAGTGCTCTGATACCAATTGTTTGTAGAATATTCAAGAAAGACACAGCGACACAAAAATAGCATGCTTCATCCTCTGGAAGAGTGCTACATCCACCAAGAACACTCTTCACTTTACTTAAGTTTTTATACACAAGACTTGATGTACAAGGCGAAAATCGAGATATTTATCTCTAGTCCAGGCGACCATCATAGCTATAAATAGCTAGGACGCGAAGTTACTACTTCAATGGAGTTGACATCAACAAGAAGACGTAAAAATACGATATCATATGAATCATTTTTAAATTATTTGCTTGTAAGACTTGATTGAAAAAAATATGAACCAAGAATTGAAATAATCTTGATATGTGTCATGATAAATTTATTTAGATGTTTACAAGAAATACATATTTGTATCGATTAATATTCGCCCTCACCATCAATATTTTGTCATCACATAACCCAAGTAATTATCTATGAATTTAAGAAGAATAATTGACAATATTATTGTATGTGTATGTATGTATATATATATATATATATATATATATATATCAGTTGATGTTGCTATTGAAATAATAGAAAGTAATAATAATGCTATTTATGGTCAATGATAGTTTTACAAATCACAATAGTATTGAACAGAAAATTTTCTACAAAAATATAATAATATTCTTGTACTTATTTCATATTTTCTATATAATTGAAAAATTACTTCAATTATAAATTCAAATCATAAGTTCAATTAATTAATGTGGTCTAATTATCAAAATAGTGTCATATAACATATTCAAATTTCAAACTTATTCTTACCAAGATCAGTTATTATTGATTACAATAGTCAATTATTATTATTCTAATTAATAAAAAAATTATTATTCAATTAATTGAATAATTTTATTTATTTATTATTAATATATTATATAATAAATATTTCATTTTAATCAGAAAAAATTATGCTTCTTTTCATGTATGTTGATCATAAAGATCAGAATTTGTTCATCTTACAAATCTATAAAATAAGTCAAATAAAATTTTTTGATCAAAATGATGTAATGTCTACCTTTGCAAATGTAGAACTGTTGCATTCAGATTAATAAATTTCTTACATTACTTGATTTATTTTCATGAATTGCTACATAACCTTTGATCTTGAAGATCAAAAAGTTAAAAGATTTTCTCCCATTCTAATATTTATAAGTAGTCATATCTTTTTAATAAAGTATACAACTTATAAATCATTTTATTTGATATTGTATGAAGAAAATTATCATATCACAAACTTATTTAAGAGATAAAAGTTTTATCTAAATGCATTTTTGTGAATTTTTACAAAATCAATATAATTTTGTACAAGTACATGTGAAAAATAAATGAAATATCTGAGTCAAAATTTAAATTATGTGTTACATTTTTATTGTACAAAACGCAATTAGTATTGAATTTTATGTAATGGAACAATGTGTTCAAAAAGATGATACATTTTTAGAAAAGGAGCTTCAAATTCCTACATATAATAAAAAACTCAATGCAAAGAAAATTGATTCAGGTATTATTCTACATGCAAAGTGTTTATTAGCATGAAGAACATTAATACATATGCATGGAATTGATACAGAATGTTGCAAATTAAAACTCTGAGTATTCTATATGGTTTTAATCTTAATGATAACCTGCAATGAAAATTTCTTTGAATGAAATATCTTTACAAAATTATATAATATTTTTTTAATTAAAGTGACATGTCATTTTAATTAAAAATTTCATATCATTATAAGAATAAAATGAAATTTAATTTCTAAGATGAATATCTATACTTTATGCAAATTATGAGTATTCTATGGACAAGAGCAAAATTTTGTTTTAGTAGTAAGTACATACTTTCATCCACAACAATTATCTAAAACTTAGCAACAACTTTTGGCAAACTTTTCTACCTCTTAATTTTGAGAACATTTGATCAATTAATTTTGATGAAACATCTCTGGCTTTACATTCTCAATAGTTCTGAATAAAAATACATGTTCTTATTCAGAATAAGGCATGTGTAAGGAATACAAATTATTGTAAAGCTAATGAATTCTTTTTAAAAACATTCTCAAAGACCTGAAAGAAGTTGGGGCTCTGTACACACTGCAAATACAAACAATATGCATCACAATGCTACGAAATGTCATTCATCGAGGATGCTAACCAAATATAAACCCCATGCAATTGCTGGAAAATATAAAATCTGCAACTTATGTTCAACATCTGAGAAAAGGAGAGATTCTCGAACACTGAATGAAAAGGGGTCATTACGTGAGTCAACTCCCTTAAACCCGAATGGACACGGCACTAGAATTCCGATTTTCTAAGTGAGATAGACGATGTTTGCGGACGTGTGTGAGCAGACTGTCTTCCGTAAGACAGTAAGAAGCCATCACTACATGCATCGGCGCAGAAGAAGAAGCCCGTAATCAATTAAGCAAGCCATCTTGAATTTTACAGTCGCAATTGTGAAATGTGTGTGCGCTCTGCACGAGGGTCGTGAGACGATAGTGGAATTCGGCTGATTATCTCTCCACTCCTGGACATCGATGGTCAATGCCTTGCAATGTTGAATACATTGTCCTTGAAGAGATCGCGTGCTTAGACATTTCTTTTCCGAGTTGAGAGTTAACGGAAAAGATGGTGGAACCGAAATTGCGGCTGATGAACTTTGTCCCCGAAAGTCAGGTTTGTACACCGCTCTTTCCTCCTCCACGTTTACGCAGGGTTTAGGGTTGGAGTTTTCGTTTGTGCGAAGAGCAGCTAGCTACTCTTGCGTTCAGTCCTCTTGCTCTATTCTGGTGTTTCCACCCATTTGTTGGAATTCGTACAGATATCACTTAGACACAAATTGGTGGATTTGGATGTAAAATTCACCAGATTTTGATTTAGGTGAAAAATTGTATGACTCAAGAAGGTCTGTAGATGCATTCAATTTTCGATTCAGTGGATCGAGAACTATTGATATCGCGATGTCGATTTCAGAGTTAAAGAATAAGTGCTGAGCTGATTGGAATAGAGGGGGAGGCTGAATTGCGCGGGGAGAATAACCCATGACCATTGTAGAAGTCAATTATCTGTAAAGAATGTGCTTAATTTAAAACTTCAAGCTTGCATATGCTGTGTGTTGCAGGAATAGTTTCTCGTGTTCTTCATGTTTTCTCCTCATGCGTTTTTCGCTTATCAAGTTGATTTCAAATGTTTTCTTTACCTCTTCAAATGTGGATATAGGGGGCTTTCGCGTGTTCCACCACGAGGTTTAATTTTTTTGAATCGTTTTCATCTTTCGTGTTTCAGGGGGAGGAGATACCTGACTCTGGGGGCACTCGAACGGGAGCTGGATTTGACAACAGGCCACTTTTTGAGGTCAGTGTCTTTTAATTTCAGAAAAGATGACTCAGTCGAGCAGGGATTTTTCTTTGTCTTTTTCAGTTTTCTCTTCGTACTTTCTAGATCAGTTTCGTGTGAACCAAGTGTAGTTCTTGATTTCATTGTTTGGATTTAGCATTTGGATCAAAGCTTGATTTAGCATCTGCTCTTACTCTTCAGATACTGAAAGATAACAAGGAGAAAAAAGATGCTGAATTTCACGAGCGTTTCAAACACCGTATGTGACCTTCACATCTTCTCCAGTTCTTCCTTTCTTTATTTTAAAGAAGTTCGGATCACTTATATGACGTAGTTGTTATATTGTACACTTTGCTGCTTGCCTGAAGTCTGCACAAGAACCTCTCGTGACCTAAGTAGTTTTTCGACGATCTGATTGTTTCAATCGGGTAGATGCTTCATAAGGAATGTTTCTGTAGGTGCGAATGACCGGGAATGTAAACAACTTTTTGTGATTTGTGCATGCTTATGTGGCTGGGGTATCTCGACGCCTAATAAAAGGTGCACTTGGGTGACTAAACTGAGATAAATTATCTAAGAGCTTGCGAAAATTAATGCATTATATCGCAAATGGATATAATGCAATAATTGACGCATTCTATTGCAACTCTGTTGTAATATGTGGAAATTGGCTTCTGTCAACAGGCCCCCCGAAAGCACTGGACGACGATGAGACCGAGTTTTTGGAGAATGTGGAGATGGTGAGAATGGCTTTTTGGCAGTTAACTGACATGGGGTACGAACAAACTAAATTAGTGTCGAGAGAATTCTCTTCGGAGTTCGCTATTTAGGTGCTCTGGCTTCCGTCCTGAGTTTTGGACTCACGACGCCACTAGCTTAACGTTTTAAGTTGCTCGGCAAAGAATCAGTTACGAGGTAGAGATTGACTTTGGAGAAAGCTTTCGCTGTTGATCTGGTTAGTTTGTCTTATCAACTTAGGTGATAAGAGGTCAATCTCAAATCTGAGTTGTGTTTGAGACATTTCCTGATAGGTTTGTCTTTTACCTCTCAAAACGAAACCTGCTTGTTGTTTGACCAGATGAAAAGGGAGCAAGAGCGCCAGCAAGTGGAGGAGGAGAAACTTCAACTCATTAATTTTCAAGTGAGTACTTTATTGTGGCTTCGCGAAGAGTTTTATCAATTGCTCATATATCCCAGTAGTTTATTATTCGTCAAGGGTTTGTTCTTATTCTTTTGATCTTCGTCAGTTCCACGTCTAGGCTTTATAGTAACTCCAATTTGAATTTTTTGATGCAGACTGAAATACTCAACAGAACTATTTCTGCCGAAGAACCCAAAACCATAAATGCTATACAGCAAGAGGTAGCCTGAATTGCTTCTCACCAAATTTGTAGTCTGCGGATTACTTTTCTCCAATAAACGTTTGTTCTGATAAATCACGGTGTATGGAAGTGTTATGTTTGTGTCTCTTTGTCCATGTCGTATTGCGCTTATATGGTTAGCATCAAACGACAGAATTGATTTCCTGTTACCTTGATTCAGCTGCAGGAAGTTCCTGCAAGGAACAAGCGACCCTTACAAGCCCGAGTACTACCAGTGGCCGTGAAGATCAAGCCAATCCCAAAAAGGACCAAGACCGAAGGCTTCGCCTGCAAAGAAATCAACCTCGAAAAGTTTGAAGTAGATCAATCGCCCGTGCAAAAAGAGAATAAGAACAAGGACCCAAGTAGAAAGGAGGACCTATCAGTCAATCTCTTACCAGGAGGTTTGCTAGGATTGGTGTCCTATGGTGAATCGGATGATGATTGAGAATATTGTATACACAAAGTTTAAAAAACAAGTTCCTCATCAGGGAATTCGATCGAGAACAACCTTGTCCTCTCGCAGTAGATCTTGTTTGCATCGTGTCATGCTATTTTTCTGACTCCGTCCGGGCACGCACGCATCTGCTCGATGTGACTGGACAGAACCATCATCATGTCATATTTGTACGTGGAAGCGTTCCTCAAGATGCCCTTTAGTTGCTAGAAAAAGATGTTTCTGAGTGAAGGTCTCACGAAGAGATAAGCGGGCACCGGGAAACACGTGAATATGCGCTCCAACTTTTTCAAAGTAGCAGACACTGTCAGCTGTACAACTTGCACGGTTTCAACTAGTCCCTTGCAATCATTCTGAATCATGGTAACAGCAATGCCCAACAGTGCTTGAATCAACCTGTTCTAACTCTGTAAGTGAGCACCAGAAAGAAAGGCTGTACGAGACCTAAGTCTCGTACGCCGAGCAATGACAGTAATGACACTTTGTACGCCGTTGTGCAGCGAGGCAACAGTGGCCAAAGGAGTATTCATACACATCCACTTACATGGTAAATATTTAGGTTCTCATTTTTTGAAGTATTCCTTCTTTAGAGTTGAAGCGAAAGCTTTTTCTGATTAGAACCTGGTACCAGCCTTTCATTACCATAATGCCCAGTTGCTCAGTCATGTAGCCGAATTCCTCTAGAGGTTTCTAAGATTTGCAACTTAGATGACAAGCAACTTTTTTACGTGTTAGCTTAACAACGGCTGAACAGAGTAAATGTGGTAGTTACACGAATCAACCTCTTTAATTGCTGCAACTTGATTCAAAAAATTTCTAGCATGAATGTACTAAAAGTTATCATTTTACACCTGCATCTACTTTCAGAAGTGTAGTCTAAGTTGAGTAACTACTCATATTTCGAGTTTTTGAAGAGTGTTTCAAGCAAGTATTTTTTTATGAAATTATAGAGATGTCTACACGTATGTACTTTATAGAGTATTACACTAGTTGCATGCTGCCATGAACACATATATTGATTGTAGTGAGATATTTTCTTTGAAACTTGTAGTGATCAATAATTACAAGGATGCGATACTGAGATATACAATATTTTTCGGTCCATAAAACATTTTATTTTTATTGCAGGCAAAAGATATCAATATTTACAAAATTCAGATCGTGATTTTGTTTAAATCATTATATCGATAAGTTTTCGAGAAATGTGCAAGCAGATAATTCTACTTGCACAATCAACTACATGATCTGAATGCAATTGATGATGCATCATTAACATTTGAAATAAGTTCTTTTTACATTGCTATTTTGCAATCCAAAACTAAGTATTCCTCCTTGTTGATACAATGTGCATCATAATCCAACAACACTTGTTGAGATAGAATAAAAAACAAAAGACTTCACATACTTTATCCAACATCACCATAATTGAGAACATCTTGCTACATCTATACATCTGCCTTATGAGAAACTCCATTTCTCTAACGAGTATAATATTTTAAGTTTTACAAGGTACGATCATAATTGAAAGATTTATAAAATTACTGCTATTAATCTAAGAAAAAATCAAAATATCTTTTTGCTTTTTTGAAATATGATTGACAATTGCAAATATGAAACGATAAAACTCCAATGCTAATAAATCATTGGTCGAGAAAAAAATGAATAACAGTATTTTTTGACTCCAACCTTGCATTATATATTAGCTCAAAAGTTGTTGATAATTATACAATATTTTTTTATGGATCAAACCGATTTCCATCTTTATATCTCTCATAGATGATTTATGAGCTATAAATGAGATATTTTAAGTTTTAGAAAAATGTGAAAAAAAAAGATGCACATGTGTTTCTGCACATGTGAATAAATAAATAAATAAATAAATAAATATATATATATGATCAATAAATAAAGTAGTCGGTTCGATGATCGGGTCGGTTTGATCCCGGATGGACGATCCATCCATCATGTTCGTTCGTTAGCAGGTCCGAACGGATGGATGATCCATCCGTTCTATTCTTCTCTCGTGCACGTATATAAATCACTACATCCTCCCCTCTTTTAGCTGCTCTGATCTCAAATGAAGATTTTCATCTGAAGCAAGAAGAGCAGATATACTCAAATGAAGAAGAGCTATGGCAACTCTTAATTTGAGTATAGCCGTCTTTCTTGCTTTAGATATCTCCCCGCCGTATCGTTTTCGTTTCGAAAGAGGATAAGGAAGGATTTGTAGTAGCATACGAATATACGTGCTGCCCGGCTGTTCTCGGCGATGGAACTCAAGTTCCACATGTTTTTTTCGATTTGAATGTATCGCTCTCCCCGACCCGACACTGTACAAGAATGTCCAAGCGTCAGGCCAAACGAACCGACCCCGGCGATTCCCGATCATCCATCCGTTCTATTCCTCTCTCATGCACGTATATACATAACTACTTCCTTCCCTCTTTTTGCTGCTCTGATCTTAAATGAAGATTTTTATATAAAGCAAGAAGAATTGATATACTCAAATCAAGAGTTATGGCAGCTCTTGATTTGAATATAGCAGTTCTTCTTGCTGTAGATATCTCCCTGGCCATATAATTTTCGTTTCGAAAGAAATAATAAAGATTCGTAATAGCATACGAATGTACGCAAAACAATTGTCTTCGTGAAACTGAAATTCACAACACTAATATAATCCCAAACAATGAGACAGGTTTCTTATGTTCTTAAAACAATGGGTTGATATTCGATTGGTGTAGCAAGGCATCTACAAATCTGGCTTAAATCGGAAGTTAAAAGTCACTTCCGAAACATGGTTGAACCTTCCTAATTTAAATTGAATTAAAGATAAATACTATATGATCCATTACGATTAGAATGGATTTGATGATTAAAAATTACTAAAAAAATTTGAAACTTAAAGCTTAAAAGTCTATCTCAAAAGATCATTATATTTTAGAAATATGAATTTTTTTAAAAAAATTCAGGCATTCAAATAATGCCTGGATTGAGGTATATTCTGGACAGTACAATATTAAAGCCTACAAGAAGACTGATTATAATGGATATTTATTGCATTAAAATTTTTTTCAATCTACTTATCAAACAAATTAGATTTAAGACAATGATTATATTATATATATTTTTAAATTTCGATATAAATTTATTTCCATAAAAAATAAAATGTAATGTTCAATATGATATTCTTGTAATTTATTATTATTATATTATTACATGATTCATATCAATTTTCGGTTCTATATCCAATGAACCGAAAATTTTGAAAATATAAAATTATATTTTATTTCTCCAAAAATTCATGTAAATTTAAAATTTAAGATATTTCTTACATGATTAGATTGAAATTATTAAGTGAGAATTTCAACTTGAAATAATAAATTTTTAAATATATTAGAGAAAATCTAAGTAAAAAAAATAATATTATATGATTTTTTATTCATTAAAAACCTAGAACTTGATATTTAAGTGTAATCTTGTATTTTGTTTTTTTATAATAAAAATATTTTTAAATATAAAAATTACAGAAAATGAAATGACTGAAATTTCAACTATAACTTCATTCACTATAAACTTGTAGAGTTGAAATGACTTGTTATGATAGAAATTTTGAAATTCATTGTCTTAAAAGAAATAAAAACCTACTTATATTCAACTAATATATCATATTAGTCATTCCATAAAGACTTTTGGTTAAATCATAAGTATGTCATAGACAAATTTAAAAATGATAAATGATGCAATTATGATGACGGATCTATAATTTTACTCTATATTTATTTATTCTGATATTTTTGAATTTTTCTGAAAATAATTTTGATGTTCCAATTTGAGAAATTGAATAATCTATTATGAGTCATAAAGCTCGTTTGATTCAAGATGGATATATTGTTATTTGAAATTACAATCTTATTTTAGAACTCTTGCTCAATCGATTATAACGCATGAGAATATAATATAAGGATTTATACACATCACATCATCGTGAATATGTTTTGCATATCATTAAGTAATTTTTTATTTATGGATTGAATTTTCATAAATCAAAAGATTAGCAGACAATATATATTATGTGTATGTCTTAAGATATAATTTTGATTTTTGTTTCCAATATTCTTGTCTCAAGTGATATTATTGGCAAAATTATATCCAATTTTTCTATTAATTTGCATAAAAAATTTAAACGACATGATGAAGATATGGCTACTATCTTTAAATTTTTTGGATATCTTGCAATCAATGTATTTTATTGATTCAATACAGTGTTCAAAAAATTATGAATTTCATTATCAGATAATCTAATTTCAAAGATAAAATGATTAGATTTATTATATATTTTTTTTAAAATACCAAGATTAATCTTTTTTTACTTTTTGAAACTAATTTTAACTAATTACCTTTTTTACTTTTAGTTGGACAAAAAATTATGCTGTGAATTACATTTCCAAGCTATTCTGAATCATCTTGATTTGAAGTCCCTTCGTGTGAATCTTTATCTTTCATGTTAACTCCCTAACTATTTTTTATTGATAACATTAAACGTTTTAACAACCTTGTTGTTAAATTTTCAGAATTTTGGTAAAGAGCACTCATATACATTGTTGATCAACCGAGAATGTACCTACAGTCAAATGTGAATATTATGGAAGTGCATCTTTGAAAACTCGAACTTTAGATTACATTCATGATATTTGAAGCAGAAAACTTTATTTTCATTCAAAAGTATCAACTTGCAAACAAAAGATTATTTTAATTTGGCCAGAGGACCCGTAAAGGCAAAGAAGTGCCCCTTGGGCCAAAGAGGTTCGGTTCGGCGATTCGGCATTGCTCGTTTGGTTCGGTTGTTTCGCCAATTCCGTTTTGTATTATTTATTGATGGTTTGATTATGATTGGAATGTCATTTGCAGATTTGTTATTGGCAAACCCTTCTGCCAATAACAAGAGTTTAAGTCGCGCTACATTATCAGAAGGTGATATGAAATCATATTCTTATTATAACCTCTGAAAGAATTTGATAGATTCCACAGTGTTTTCTATTCTAACATTATATACTTCATATGTCAAAGCTTAATTTTTTTTTATCATATACATATTAATTTTAGAAACTTTATGAAAAGTACTTTTCATTAGTAAGATAGAAATTACTATATAATCCATTTGTAATAAATCTCCCTTTTGAAAGGAACTAATTTATTTGCATTTCATATTTTTTGAATTTTATCATTTTAAAAATTTCAATGTTATTGCTAGAAAAATTTAAATTCTACATCCCCAGACCTGTTTCATGTAGATACTAAATTTTGAAAAAATGCCTTCCTTCTTAGTGATCCTATTTTTTGAAAAAAATTGACTTTATTCTTGTTGTAAATATATATTTGTTGCATCATTATCACTTTATTTCAAAAATAATAATAAAGTATACAACTATGTAAAGAAAAAAAAATTCTTGACAAAATTTGTTCTTTTGTAACTTAGAACTTCAACTTCATGCCTAAACAAAAAATATGACATTTCAAACTTTTTGAGATCAATATTCATTCAACACTTAAGCTCATTATCATGAAAATAACTTCATTTTCATGTGAGATGAATGAATCGTCTTTAATGCAGTGCATGACTTACGACTGTTACCAAAGAGATAATGAATGCTATCATAGGTGTTATTGATCTAATGATCTTTGTTTTTTGGCTCAATATAACGTAATAGTTTTAAATTTTTTGCTACTATATAAATCTTGTATTTTGTTTTCTTCATACTAAATATTGAGAGAGACAAAAGATTCTTCAACTTCACTGCGTCCTCTCTTGCTTTGAATAGGCAAAAGAGAAGAAATATTAGTGTGATTTGACTTTAACTCTTAAAAAAACTCAAAAGATGAATAGCGTTTTAGGCAGCGAAGCAAGATGTGTAATAAATTATTGTTGCGGCAAGCCAGATGTCAACATTTTTTCGCAATTTTTTTGTACATTTTGATGCCCAAGTTACTCGGAAGAGGAGGACTTATTCCGTGATATATCCATACAGAGATTTCAACAGGTTGATTTCAGATACTATTGAGTGGAAATTTGAAATAGTTGCAGTTCACAGCCCTTGACCATTCATCTTCGTACAAGTGTTCAGGTGAGTTTTGATTTCACTACTTATAGCCAGTGTAACTACTAAACCTCGGAACCCTTGTTATTTCAGTTTGCAGGTTCTTTGCAGGAGATAGACCTTTTAGTCAGCTCCATGTGTCGTGGGGAGTTACGAGAGTATAGAAAATGACATTCGTCCGTATTTTTGCAGAATGCCCGACGTTTGGAAATAGTCTGAACAGAGTGGACTCAGAAGTCTAGAATGCCCTGGAACCTGCACACGGACGGCAAGAATCCAATGTACTTCTGCCACCTTGGTATTGTTATGGGAAGAAGCTGTGACAGTAACTATGTGACCAGATTATGGGTCCTCTAAGTTCTGGAAAGGTAAGGGAATTCGTTGGAGAGCCCCCATATCTGCGAACTTATGCAGATGCTCGTATTCTAACCTGCAAGGTCCGATGTAAACACATCCTTGTTGAGAATTAGCTGATTCATGCGGGTGCTCTGGTCTCGTTTACGTGACACTCACATCTCTCTTCGTCGATGGATTGACTGAATGAGAAATTTACTTCGCCTATCTTGGCCGCTTTTGGCAGTCAAATTTACACCATGAGAGTAGGAAACTGACCTGTAGAAGTTCCAGTGTCCACGGCGAATCACTTCCAAGACGGCAAGTACAGCATCTATGGTGCTGTCATCGAGGTCGAAAGTTTGTTCGACGAGCACAGCTGTAAGCCAGGCCATTCTGAGACTGATATTCACCACCTGCACCATCTCAGAGATTAACAATTCCCATATCTCACATGAAGGACAGCAAGAATGGCATGACTGAGAAGATTCCAGTGTGGATTAGCTATGGACTAGTGTAAGGATGGAAATGTCAAATCAACCAAATCAATACTACTACATACGCTGTGGAAAGTGCAACTGTAACCCCTTTGTTTTCAAGAGTGTCGTGGTTGAAAACATACGATGGAAATGTAGTAGGCAAATTTGTGTTTCAATAGCAGGTGGTCTCGTAGCCATGGGTTAACCGACTTGGACTGCATTAGACCCCAGTCTTTTACGAGGTCCCAGTAGATGCCGAAGAAAGAAGAAATGAACGAAGATGCGACATAAGCGAAGAGCCAGACCCCGGAACTTTGTCGATAAGCCACCTTCATCGCCGTCGAAATTAGCGCAGATAAGTACTTTGCTCCGTTGAGTACCTGCTGAAAGTCATGTTCATCTTTCCACCTTCTGGCACACTGTGTGGAAAACCCACGGATTGCCGTGTTAGCATTCAGAAGTATCAGGTAGGGTTAGTACTCTGAGAGAGCCTGTATACTCGCTCCATGTTTTCGCAACACTGGTTTCCTCAGTCCATGCACTATACCATCATGTTATGACATGTATTCTTTGATGCTAGCACACAGTGAAAGACTTCTGGCCTAGGGTTGAAAACGATGGATTGCGATGAAGCAATCCATCGTTTTCCATTATTTTCGCTGTTTTATTTGTTGGGCCCGCTTCCATGGCCACCTTTATCGAACACTGGGCTTAACAGGGCAAAACTCAACAGTTGATGATAAAACTATAGTTGATATGAGCTAGAGTAAGAGTTCCAAATCGCCACATCATCTTATACGTGCTGTGTGATAGAACTCCATCTGTTCTTTTCCGTTGTCTGTCTGCAAGAATCTGAAAAATGAATAGAAGATGAGATAAGATCTTTCTTGACCTAGCATTATCACTCCCCTCAAAACCAGTGAATAGGGGCCTTGACCTGCATCAGCCTCCACCAGTATGGTAATATCGCGACATATTGCAAGCATCGCACTGTCAAGCCTTCAGTACATGAAGCTCCATTGTGGGATTGGAAATGGCCTCCCATATAATAACATGCCAGATACTGAATGTTTTTCAAGACTGTCACCTGCATTCCGTCGGTTCAAAATGGATTAGTTCTCATACTTTCATATCTATTTTGTCAATGTTGCTTCTGTATGCAGTTACCATCCGATGTCAGTCTAAGATAGGTCCTGCATACATGGCAGCCCATCTTAGGTCACATGGGTTACCTGGCTGGTCAGTTGATCTGCAAGAAAGAAGTCGGCCAACACCACCTGCCGTAAAATGGATGAGAAAGAACATTAGATGCAGAAATCAGAAGGCATGCTCGTGAGCATCTATGACAGATTTCCCAAAACAGAATCCACTGCCAAGCACCGTAATCATATTGAGCTTAGTAAAACCGGATGCCCTGCTTTGCCTAAAGAATAACAATAATAGTATGAGGTGTAGTAATCTCGTGAACTTTTGCTCTGAAGCCTCAGTTGACTACACTAACTGTCACTCATCTTCAGTATGTAGATGAAAATCCGACGACTTTGAGAGTACCAAGTCTTAAACCGATAGTTCCTGATAGGCTGATTCAAATTACCTTGTAGAAAGGGGAACTGACAACGTGGACCATACACCGCAGAAATGCCATCCTTGTTGATCGAAAGCAAATATTTAGAGGAAGGAAAAGGATGGCAATCAACACCTGCAGAATCGCATATTCCTCTTGTTGTCATCAATAAGCAAGGAAAATCAAATCATCGGATTGATTATTGTTAGCTAAGATATACCGACAGTGAAACAGCTCGGTTCGTGATCTATCCTTGATTGCTCTACATGTTTCCTCTTTCAAACAAAATGAAGCTCTTGACGAAGGAAGATTGCCCTGATAATTGTTTACTTCCTATTAGTCTTTGTGGACCGCTTACCACTAATGTGAAAAGGGGAATGAGATCAACCCGCGGTAGACCTGGGTACATCTTTACGACGATCATACCCAACATCCATAAGGTGGTGAAACCAGTGCTGAGAAGCAACACCTCTTGATACTGGAGCTCTGTTCCTGGTTCCCATCTAAAGATGAGGGCATAGTTGATACGAGCTCGGCGCCAAAGATACATATCCCAAGCATACATATACAAATGGAGAAGAACCAACCCCACAGTACTGTCACAAGTAGTCAAAGGATTGATTTGTCAAACGTAATAGACGGACTCTAATATGTCAACTAGGTCTGACTTGGTGAGCTACACATATGATCAATAGCATCAGTAAGAACTACAACAAAAGCTACTGTAAGATTCTAAAATATAATGCTCTCTTTTCCACAGTAAAATCATGAAACAACAAGATTGTCAAAAAGATGTAAACAATGTACTGCAAAACACTTTACCTTGAAAGTGGGAACAGAACGTTTGATTTTTTTTCTACTGATTCTCCTTTTGTATCAACTTGAGATTCCAATGGCGACGGAATCATCACTGTTGCAGCGAGTACGCTTAAGAACGCCACTGAACATCCCGTAAATACACCTATTAGCACCAGAGTGAAGCTGGGTTACTTCAGACTTTCAAACGATAAATCTGGGAAGTGGTTTGTTGCAGCCAGATTATGTCCATCAAAAATTGCTTGGACTGAATGCCATGTAACAATCCAAAGGTGTGTCAGGCCCAAACTGGAGAAACTCGCTCAGCTACATTTTGAATCGATAATTCTAGAAGTCCACCGGAATATGGGAAGGCTTGCTGTAGTGACGTAACTTGCGAGATAATGGTGACCGAGAAACTACTTGAAAGTAGGATTCTATCCTTGATCGTTGCGGCTTCCTGTCTTCACACTCGGGAAGACGTTAAGATTTTGACATCAGAAACGTATGATTACCTTCGGATTGTGAAAGGCTTTTGAATGGTAAATGGAAAATAGATCAAGCCCGTGGGACCCAAAGGGTCAAAAGGCTGAAAAACACAATATACAAACTTCTGTAAAATTTTTATATTGGAATGCCTGATTGTGTCATAATTCACAAGATTGCCTACTATATTTGAACTTTATCGCTTAGATGAATAAACTTGCCTCTTTATGCTCAAGGGAGTGACGAAGATTTAAATGTCAGAATGACATACCTTGGAAATATGCTATTGACCGGAATGTTTTCTTCTGAAAAGGTCTCAAATATATCATTGCCTCCCGGTAGTTTTTTCTGGTGAGATGTAAAGTGAAGATGTTTTCCACCCCGTCCATTAACTTTAATACCTGCAGATCTATGTTAACAGTAGCAAATTTGTTGTTTTATTTTTACATTCAATGCTCTACAAATTAAAATTCACATTATCCTACATTTCATTTCATCGTCTATTCAATTCAAAGATTGGCCCCTATAGTACGGGGTGGGACTTACATTCGTGGTTCCATTTTTACGTGTCTAATCGAGGAAGTACTCCCTACGCTGAGACAACTTCTATATGATCCAGGCATCTCGTAGAACTCAGCGTTGAAATGATAAATAGAATAGATAGAATTCGACTAGGCCACAGGAAGCATTTGAAAAAAAACTGGTGTTTGGAGTCGACATTTCTACAAGTCAACTTTTTTCTACAGTACTTCCTCGATTAGACACGTAAAAATGGAACCACGAATGTCTGGTTTAGATCTGAGAGCGAAGTGAGAGCGATAAGACTAAGGGTCTGGTTTAGATCTGAGACTTATCTCCTTCTCATCAGTTGACATGATGATGATAACTATGGAAAGTTAATCATCAGCAGTTGATTTATAAGTATCAATGTCTCATTTGTTGTTAAAGCGAATAGGTAGGCCTGCAAGGAAGAAAGAGAGATTCGCTTGCCTTGTCTGAACTGGCGAAGTATGAGTCTTCAACAACTCTCAGATACGTCAACGACGCATTCCACCCTGTGACCTGCCCCTCGACCATTCCGATCGCAGAGTGTTAGCTATGTAATGGCTGTTCTACCTGCGTAGAAGCGATTTTGTGTGCTTACTTGATGCCAAACGATATAACTGCACCAACACTAGGAGGAAATAATGGTTCAACTGCCAGCGGCCCTCTTCTCAGGGTCCTGCATCTACAATGCACGTTTAGTTCGTTAACCTGAAATTAATTCCACTCACAAACTGACAAGTAATTGCAAATGTTGCAAAGGCTTCAGAATTGACCTTGTCATATTTCTTCAGTATCTTAGAGAACGCCATGATATTCATTGCACTGCAAGTAGTCCACTGTCAATTATTCGACGAAAGAAGTAGTAATCGCAAGATCGTAAACGTCATCTGAAAGCAAAACAATCTCGAAGCTTGTTTGACTTTCTGGATACGACCGATCTCATTGATACATATCTCTTTAACCTTGTTTACTTGGATCGTTATTCTGTCTTGATATGATCATAGGTGGAAATTGTAACCATGGTGGAACATGACCTGTAGCTTTTCAGATGACCCAATCCGCGGTAAAATTCTGCAAATGCTGTTCGAAGTAGCTTCTCGGACAACTGTACTTGCTCTTTATTCACAGCAGCTTCCCGTCTTAATTGGATTCTCAAAGCATTCATGAAGATTTCTACAAATACATTCATAGAAGAACAACGAAAATAAGCATATCTGTCTTGACACATCTGATGCATCAGTGTGGGTCAAAATTAGACAAAAGGCGATCCAATCATCGATAAAGTGATAAGAGATTAGCTAAAATTAAGTTTCTAAGCCAGTTGGACGACTTTGGATTCCGCATGTTGAAAAATCAACGTGCACTACGATGAAACACTTGGGAATGTTTTAGAAGAGAAGAAAGGAATGAAAGATCTGGGGAGCGGTCTTGTGATCCATCCTGGGTGCTTGAATTTCATTGGTAGAAGCATATTTTCGTCTCGAGCGATATCATCTAATGCACAGGATTGGGATGATGGGCTTTAGATCCATATGCAGGATATATATCTTCTTTTCTAGTTGAGACGGATGTGACAATCTTTGCTACCGTTCTTCAACCAAGTGCTGAAGATGCATGTCAAACTCAGAGTTCGGAGTGTCAGCACCTGGTTTGTGTTCATCACTCGAGGCGGAGCTCAAGATCTTTTCCCAATCGCAACCGTCGCCTGCAATTGCTGAATCTTGTCTTCTCCGCAGATCGAGGAGTGCGGCCATCTGAAGTTGCAGACTATGCGCCCGAAGATGATGCTCTTCCTCTTTGAGCTTATAAAACTGGTTCACTCGATTCAGTTCAAAATCCAACTTCTTGAAAAACTTCAAAGCGAGGTCCGTTGGTGTTAGTGCGGAGTCTAGTAATTCAGTCTCGTAAAGCTCAGTCCCAAAACGTCCATCGTCAGATCCACAATGTCGAATTTGATGAATATGAACCTGTGTTTCGAACCAAAAATTTGACATGCGATATCAGCTACTCCCGTTCAGTACATCCGATTCTTAAGGACACCATACACATTAGTTCATCGTATACGTCATAACTCAAAGAGACTGATACATATATGCACCCAAGAGGCCCCTTCACCAAAGCATAATAATACTGGGGAAATTTAGAATTTGGTTAAAAAAAACTTTCAACCAAATTCGGGCTCGCAAAATATACCGTTATATTCTCCACTTTTCCCCGCAAGAACAGAGGGTTATTCACCAGTCTGTCGGAGAATGCCACGAATGGACTTCCAAAGGATTTCAACATTTGCACGGAGTTCTTCGATACATTTTCATCGGACATGCTGACATGGACAAGCTGATGGTACTCCTTAATGCGCTTCACATCCCTTTTTAACTGCTTGTAGTCGCAGTATCCCTCCTTCCATTCTGGAACAAGCTGCCCAGCAAGCTGCTTCTGGAATTTTACCATGTCCAGTTCCTGATAATGATGTCACGGAACCAGGTCTCAACCGCAGATCTTTGTCAGGGGGTTTCGTGTCCTCCAAACCTGTTTTACAATCCGGAAATTGGTCATTTAGTTCTGAAACGTGATGGTTCCATAATTTTTCTGTGAAATTCTCGCGAAGATCACGTGGAAGAGTTCCATGTTCCCCCGAAATGTTGGGCATAGTATTATTATCATCACATAGTCACTGCAATCTAGAATCTGCGATTAAGTGTTCAACAGACTACGTAATATTTAAGGAGACTTGATTTGTGTCCTCTGTTTCTTGCGCACTGAAATCATACAGATATTAGCATAATAAGAGGATGGGTATGAACGAGTCTCAGAAGCTGCTCTCCTACCGTAATAGAAGTCTTAGACACGACTAACTTGTAAATGACTTACTGATTTTAGTCGGACCTTGTACATAGTATCAAAGGTTTTGATTGGCTTGCTTCTAACTGCAGATCCAACAAGATGACTTGCAGTAGCCACTGATTCTCTGCCTACTTATGGCTAGCTGTTAGGAGAAGATACTCCTCGTAAAGTAGATGAAGAATGTGCATGCGAATGTCATCATGATCCGCATTGAAGAATCCGGGCCGAGAAGTCATTGCGGAAGATCACGGAGGCCCTAGATAATCATGTGTGTTTTATATGAGTAGACTATCAACGTTTCGTGATTAGAAGCAGCTAGTAGTACACATTTTAGACTTCAAAAGGACATTCGTTCGTGTTCATGCACGCCCCAGGAGGAACGTGCAGGTAAAAGCAAGTGCTGACTTAAAATAAAATACAAGTTATACCTTCGATTATATTCTGCATCCAGCTACTTCGTGCTAAGCCAAGGTGTGCAAGTTTAGAAAGAACAAAGAGAGAAAATATATTAAACTGGTGAGTTGAAGATAAACACTCACACATGCTGATATCCGAAACGATTTCCCGAAGGGTCCATGGCCTCTATGTAAAAGGATGGATTTAACGCAGATCAGCTAATGCTCATATATCTAATGGAGATGCCAAATTCCTGATAAGCTGTTTATTCATTTCAATAGGCTCGAAAAAGTCATTGATCTGACTTGATGTTAGTCATCGGCTATTACCTCTTTGTGGCGAGTGGACCGATTCGAGTCGGCGGCATTCGGAGTTGATTTAGACTTCGCGATGTAGAGAACTTGTTGATGTTACTAGCTCTCGGAATACATATCCCGATCAGATGGCCAACCAGACTTGACATGGCAACCTCAGGAAGAGATCGATTATCGAGTGAAGCTCTCAACGAAGGTGACGAGGGATCATGTTCTAGTCGTATCGTTGCAGGATCACTTGTGACGAGGAATTCTGCTGCCAATTCGACAGAATTTAGTCCTCTTGGGAGAATAATGAAATACTGTACGAAGAATTACTAGGAATCAAACTTATGGACCAAACTAGCCACGGCTGCCCCAGAATAAAGCAAGCGAGAGAGTCGGACATGGTCATCACATGGGACGTTCCATGAAAGTGGAAACCGAGATCATCAAGGTGGTACCAGAGTTCAAGCTCTAGAACCGTCACGCCTATTAGGGAATTAAGTAAAAAGGAGTGATTATTGGAGACTTTGATGGACCCAAACCATCTCAAGCTAAGCTGGATGACATGTTTCAAGAAGACCTTCCACTGGCAAGTGAACGAATGATGATCGATCTCGAGCTGAACCATGCACCGTTCTGATTTGTTGTTCCGTGCTCATGGAAGATCAGAGAATCCATCAAAGGTCTGGGATAGGAAGAGTCCACGATGGACTCAAACAGGCAACCTGAAGGTCGACTGCTTCGTATGTCTTAAAACGTGAAGTCGTAATATAATCATTGCGTTTAGAGCTGGAACATCGTGATGACGCCGGCCGGACGAACGATGCGAGTCCCGACCTGCTCTTCAAACCATTTCTGGAATTGCCGGGCCATCGGCCATTCATCGATGCCCGATAGTGCTGCCGGTAGTTTTCGTGCATTATCTTCACTTTATCGTCTGCTCAAGGCCAAGCACACTGCTAGCGAAGCACCTCCTAATTCCTAATTGCTAGGCCACAACAGAAGTACTCTAGAATTGGGATGAGGGCCCACATTTGTTTGTGCCAAGGATTGAAGCCACGCCGTGCATGTCAAGTACGAATTTCAAAGCGTTTCACGTAAGAGGAGACGTTCTTAGCTTAGCTTTTGCCGACCTTCAACCGCCCCTTCGTAACAGAAATACGCACTCCTAGACTATACACCTGCAAGGCCAAAGCCAAAATTAACTAATTTCGGAAAGAGGGAAGTGCACGTCTTTAGCCAAAATTATCTCTAGTTTCGTATATATTTCGTCTAGAGTCTATAATCTTCAATACTCAGGGGCACGTGAGAAAGTCTTGGATCATGCGTACATGCGATCAACAGTAGACACAAGAAACCTAGTTATGGGAATTCCCTGGCCTCATAAGGCTTGGGAATTCCCATAACTAACAAAATTAACTTAGATTATGGATTCTTTTCATCTTAATTTTGGGATTTGTCAATAAATAGAGTACATGCGCATTTTATTAGTTGACACTAATTGACTTTCTCACGTGTGCGTCTCGGAATAATGATTTCTATACGGACGAATAATACGTATCGTAATCTTAATGGTGGCAAAAGCAACGTGGCATACTTCAACTTGTGGCAAAGTCAAAGTTCTGATCATGACGTTATTAATTTATGGATGCTGCAAGATTTACTTTTGGTTAATTCTGGAATTTTGTTAACAAATTAACAAATTTTAACAGAATTTAGGAGTCCTCCACTAAACTCAATAACCTTGATTCTAATTAATTCCATTCATTCTAACAAGAGTTAATGAACACTTCATAAACTTCCAACTATATCCACTTTGACAAATAGTCTATGTTAATAAAGTTATTGCTCAAAAACCTCAAACATGAAAATTATCATCATCAACTTGCTTCAATATTGAATCTTGGAGTATGATATTACATCTAGCTATTTTTTGGAAATCTCTTAAGTTTAATTTAATAAATAATTATACCTCAATATCTAACACTAATCAAATTGCATTCCACTCACATGTGATTTCTTTAAAATGTTACATTGCTCCATAGTTTTGTTGGAGCAAAACATAGATGTCATCATTACTTCATTGCATGTGTCAGACTTTAATTTTAACTTTTGAAAATCTAGCAAGAAGGGCCCAAGATTAGGATTTTGAGCCCACGGCTCAAACCCTTAATCTTGTCATTTCCTTGGATCTTTGACTTTTGAAAGTCTAGAAATAGGGTTCAAGATTAAGATCAAGATTAGGAATCTAAACACTTTCTAGTCGACAACTAGATCTTTTCACAATGGCTAGAGATTTTGATTGCGGCTAGGATTATCTTGCAATATTTAAATTGGTTACTTCCGATTTATGTAACAAGTCATTTGTTGCATTTTGATATGAACATGACTAAGTGGCCGCAAGAACAATCACGTTGAAGATAGAATTTGATGGTACGTTACATTTAGATCTAACGTTTGAAGTGGAATGTCATTGAAAGCCTCATGAGCTTGGACAATCATTGTTGTTGAGACAGAAGTACACAATTAAGTATTCATACCAATCATTGTTGTTGAGACAGAAGTACACAATTAAGGATTCATACCTGTTGAAGTTTTTAATCGTGCTGATAGTTCAGAATCTTGGTTTGAATTCATTGATCTTTTGTCTTTAAGAGAGAGTTGTCTTGATTCCGCTTTCAAACAAAAGCTTTGTTGTAATTGTTTTACCAATCGCATAGATTGAAAAATCTTGTTTACTTCAAATACAAACTTTTCAACTGTCTTGAAAAACATAAAGTCCTTGTCAGTTTGTACTATGTACTTTTGAAACCTAAGCACTTTTGCCGAATGTCTCTAGCTTCGCAAAATTGCTTGCAAAGCTTCTTCAAGTCAAACAAGTTGAGGAATGAGAAAGTAAACAATAAAAATTCAACTGACAATGTTTGATGTTTACTTGTTCACTCCTTAGCTTTTTTGAATTCGTGCAACAATGTAACTTTGATTACTTTGTCTTCGGCATGTATTGTGTGAAATGTCTCTAGCGTGTGCATAAAAATCATTTACATTCGCGACTTGAAGGAGCAAAATTTTTATAGCGAGCTCTACAAAAGTCCTTGTAGCCCTTTAGAGTTCAAAGAGATTGAAAAGCAAGAAAATTAACAATTACAATTCAAGTGATAATTTTTGTTGTTTACCCAGTCAAATCTCAACCTTCATGATTTTGTGCAATAACTTTATGATGAATCTTGTTGTGTTATCAACAAGATTCATCACAAAAACATGGAGTGATGAATCTTGTTGCACTTTTTGTGATGAATCTTGTTGATAACTTCCTTTGAAACAGCTAGTGTTTAAATATTTTTTGTAACGATCGACTTTGCAATCCGTTGAGCAGGTTTTTGAAGCTTTTGTAGCCTTAATGGCAAATTTTCAAGCTTGCAATTGCATGAACTCAAGAAGTTTTGAAGCTAGTCCTTGAGCTATACAGAGTCACAATGTTCTTAAGAGCTTGGGTTTTATAACTTTGTGTCTTCATGCTCTTCATGTCTGCTTTTGGCTGTGACGTCTCTATCATTTTTTTCATTCTCTCCGGCAATTTCAAACTATTCATGCTTTCAAGTCTCTTACGCCAATGTTGTTTAATGAGGCCGAAGTCTGACGACTTTGATCTGCACGTCTTGTTCAACTAGGTTTTCAGTTACAATCATGTAGAGTTGGATTGCTCTTGCTAGATCTTTGTTTGCGATTGACTTGAATGCTAGCCATCGTATTCATCCGTTAGCACTTTCTCACAAGAGGAGGAGTAATATTAAATTCAATCACAAGCTACGTTTGTTTTTTTGGACTAACCACAATGTCAAAGGCATGTAATATCGTCGTCGTTGCCGCAAGACCAAATTTGATTATGATCATATCAAAAAATAAAAAATATATCATAATATTTTTGAATTGGTTGTTACTAATTTTTATTATTTAATAATACAAGTTACGTTTTGGATCTGTCTCTTATGTTGTTTCATTGCGAAGTCAAACCTTCAAATTTGTCATGATTTATAAAAAATGTACTAGGATGTAACTAATTAATGATTGGAATTGATTAAACTCTTATTATATAAGAGAGCTCACAAAAGCTCTTGATGACACTATTAAAGAGTTTCTTAGTGAAGCCTTTGAGTTCATATGAATGTGACCCGCAATGAAGAACCATGTATGTTCAATGTTGATGTGTGTGCGTGTGCATATTTCTTATCGATTGTAGGTGTTCAATGCATTTTGACTTTCCTTGTGATCAAAGTTTTAACATGTTTTTGTGCATAAAATGAAAATAAAAAATATATCAAGATTACATTTATATCTTTGCATCATCAAATGATTATTGCAACCTTACATTCTATATCAAATCAAAAATCTTGATAATTGTACATCATGTTTTTATGAATTTAAATGATCTTCATACTTCTATCTTTCAAAAATAATTATTATGTCCTATAATTTATCTATATAAAGTGTAAAATAATAATAAAATATAAGGAATATTTTTTGCCAACCACTTCACTTTCATTGTGGTTCTAGCATCAGAACAAATTTTTTTAATTTATATGTGTTTCATTATAATATTCAAATTCTATGGTTGCTTTTTTGCACATGTGATGAATCTATATATTTCATGTATTACAAAATTGTCATAAAAGTAGAATAATCAATTTTGTTAATGTGTGCTAAAATATATGTGTAGGAACAATCTTGTGCTCTATTTGCTAGCACACATTACCAAAAATTTTTCAAACTAGCTTAATTTTGGCTCAACATGTGATATCAGAAATGTATTTTTTTCTTTTTAAAATGAAATAAACATCAATTCACATTTCATGACAAAATGATATAAATTTATTTATTTTTATCTCATAGTCTTGTTTATTTTACACTTCTAATTCAAGACTATGTGAATATCAAAGATAAGACTAGCAATATGATTCAAGTGTCAGATGATCAAACCTTAGAGAGAGGCTAGACTTGAATATGTATGTACAACTTATCTAACATATAAGCAAAGAGCAAACTCAAACTTTATGTGCTGGAAGATTATTCTATATCCAAGTCTAGTAAAGATATATGAAAAGTTCCTAGTTTTGAATGGACTTAAAGTTGGATTTTGCTGTGAGACAGCTCCCGGACTTTGTTTTGTCGGACACCTACAAATGAAAAAACTGTCCATGGTAGAGACTCGCAACTGTCAACTTAAACAAGAAAGAACAACTCAAAAAATTTATTAGACACAAAACCTTATGAGAGCATTACTTAAGGCATTACTTGCTTGATCTTTTTGAAGATTTTTTCTCATCTTCACTAGAAAAAATTGTACCTCGAATATTCTCAAAAGCCATATGGAAAAATTATCTTCCATGATATCTGAAGGCTAGTTATATCATTCTGCTCTAGGTTTTGATTATTTGATAATAGTGATGATTCAAGAATTATTTGAGAAAATCGTATAATTGATTTTCTCAAATCAATTACACGATTCACCTCACCATCATAAAAAGATTGATGGTATCGATTGAATGTCAACGGATTTTGAACATGATTATGACACTTCTTAAAGTCGATTATGTTCTTCTTGAAAACGGCAACATCATCTACTTGCATTTGGGGTTATCAAAGGTTCATTGGCGAAAAATCAAGTTGTTATTTGATTTGAGATATATGATGAAATTTTTTCATACGAAATAAAAAAAATCCTATTTTGAGATATTTATAATTTTAAATTATTGCATCTAAAATGTATGTAAATTTTAAATATCAAATCAACAATAAGAATCTGATATGCTAAAATGTCAATTAGCAATCTATAGCATCTGTGGTCTAGGGGTAGAAAAGTTCCCTGCCTCGGAACAGACCCGGGTTCGATACATCGCCAATGAAGATTTCAGTAATATTTTAAAAATTTCACTACATTGCAATCTTAACTGGTTAATCAGGAGTAAACACAATGTCATTTTCGTAGTATTGCATTTTTAAAAGTACAAAGCATGAATCAGTTGCTTCCATTTCCAGCAATAAATACCAAAGATATAGATGTTCATACACACTTGTATAAAGTAAAAATTCATAAAAATTTACTTTAGTCTTAATCAAATATCATGACAATTTCATTTTATTGATTAGATGGTGCAATTGAAACTTATTTTCTTAAAAAAAACGTTGATTTTTTAATTTTAAATTTAATTAATGTAATTAACATATTATAAAATGGAATATATTTTTTTCATATTTTTTTTGAAAAATTCATAAAAAATCAATATATTCTAATGATATATATATATATATATATATATGTTTATGATATAATACTTCAAGCAATATTTGATTATAAAAATTAATGTTGAGGTTAACTTCGATTAAGCAGTAGCCTCAAGTTATTTATAGTTAAGTTTGTCGCTGGCTTTGGGTATAAATATACCTGCAAGGTTTATATTCGAGTGTGCATTGTGTATTCAGATGTCAGTAAACATTCTTGCGGGTTTCAGTCGTGGACGTAACCTTTGAGGATGAACCACGTCATATGAGTGTCTCGTGTGTTCGTACTTGGCTGAATGACTTTTGGTTTTGCGTTTAGGAATTGATATCAGATTGTTTATTCGGTTAGGATTTGTACACAATAACGGTTTTATGAGAGTAGATTTCTTGAAAGTTTTTCTGACAAATTCACAGTTTAGACTTGAAGTGAAAGATTTGAAAGTTTTTTTAGGTTCGATGCAATTCCAGGTTTTCTCTACATGAGAGTGTTATGAAACCAACTTGAAAATGACAGTTTTATAACAGTTTTCAAAAGCAAGAAGTTCGTGGAGTTCTAAAAGATAGGTTTTTTGTGATAGAATTTTTTCAAGAGATTGTGACATTAAAATCTTTCATTTGAATCGGATGATAAAAATATTAAAAATTTTGCTAGTTGTGTAAAGCTATAAAAGAAATAGTTTTTCAAAAATACATTATTGTTGTTTAAAATTGTATGAGTAATAATATTGCATTGTAATGCAGCAACATTTTAAAAATTTTAAAATATTTGCAAATCTATATTTTAAAAAATTTGCAAAAGCCTAGTTCAAAGATCTATGTATTGATATAAACAAAAAATTAGAAAAATTATGAAGGTTTATTAAATGATTCATAAATCATTTAATCATGAATTTGTCATAAATCACTGAAAAACAACATGTAAAAGTTTGTTAAATGTTACGTTTGACAATTTAGAATCTTTTCAAGATAATTCACATTGAACTTTGTGATTTTGTTTCATTTTAATTAATTTTTTTAGCACTTATAATCTTACAATTGTGAATTGAATGTTGTAGCAACTAAATGGAAAATATAAAACAATGTTTCAATCAATAAATAAATCGTAGTGAGTAAAATATTTGAAGAAATTAAAAAAAAGCTCATAAGCTTTTATTATAATGAATCGGAATTTTAAAATTTTTAAGGGCTTTTTAACTAAAGCTCTAATCTTGTTTTTGTTTCATGAGTTTATTTTTGTATATCAAAGATAATTTTTAGCCTTATCTAAATAAAAAATGAATACATTACTTTTATTTGATAAAATCTGTTGGAAAATTTTTTTGTATTATATATGATAAAGTATCCAAATCTATGACAAATCATAAAACATTATTCAAAATACACCTAACATGTCATTTTACCATACTTATTGATTATTATTTTCCTGCCATGCATTATATCAAAAAAGCTTATGAGAAGCTTTTGTTTTTTATTTTTCATTTATTGATGTTTTTGCTGAATTATTAAAATTCAATATAATGATTGAGACTCAAAAAATTCAATATATGTTTTGATCATTTCTAGCTAATTCAAAGTTTGTGTGATTTCAAATTCAAAAGATATTTTTTTTTTCTTTGTTCCTTTTTTCTTTTTTATAAAAATATGCATGCATGCAAATTTCAATATGAATAATCATCCTTAAAACAAGTCAATTTTGAAGTAATATAAAATAACATTAAAAATAAATAAAAATTTAAATACGATATAAAAAACAAAATTTTATAAAATAAATACTTGGTTAATAAAATGAAAAAGCTTTAAATAAAAAATTAATAAAAAAATTATTTAAAATTTCAAATTTATTAAATATGTAACAAATTTTGATTGAAATTTTTTTTTTGGTTAGAATTACATCACAATTTAAGCTAACATCATGATAATACAAGTTTATTTTATGATTGATCATATCCAAATAAATCAAATTAATGATGTGACGATATCATAATATATTGTGAAACTTAATTTATGCTAAAAGTTTTTTTAAAAATACCATCAAGATAAAAAAAGCATTATTTCAAGGCATGCCAATTCCACAAATGCTTTATTTTTTGGAAACTATGCTAAAGAAGCTAATCGCTATGCGATATATTCGAAGCAAGCAACAATGCACTGTCATTTTAAAAAATCGACAGTTTTTCATTAAGCTTTCACTGCGGATAATTCAGAAGAAGTGGAGACTTTTACGAGTGAATAGACTCGTAAAATTAATTATCATCTTAAGCATGCATTTCCTTTGCATGTGAATGAATAAAAGTGGATAACTCAGGCTGGCAGGTCTGAAAATCCTTATGGTCCGAATTGCATTTGAAGATCCAAGCCATGCAGTAAATTGTATAAAGGTAACACATTCAGATGTGTGGCATTAAGAAGAGAATGCTTCAAGACTTTCACAGCTCTTTCATTCCAAAGTGTTTTGATTTTGAAGTGTCATGTGAAACAACATGAATTAAAATTTGTTGGGGTAACATCAATTACGCCAAAATCAACTGAAAAATGTCTGTGTCACGGGCAACACATTATTATTTATCTAATTACGAAGAACCAAATACATCAACAACGTCTCACTTATTCCTTTGATTGATGAATCAAAATATACTCCTCAAAGACGAGAAAAATCAGGAGCGACGCGCTCTCCAGCTGCTCATGATGGTGGATTTTTCTCGCTGGCCATCACATCTCGCCTCCATCGCGGAGGCGCGCGAAGCCCATGAAGCGAGATAATTAAGAATACACGTCGAAGGAGGAAATCATTTCACTGTTGAACACAAGCACGAGGCAGCGGCGGGAAGTGAGACGCATGTCTCAGAAGAGCTATTTTACTTCACGAGTCTCCTATATTCCTGTAGTCGAAAGGTAAACGTTCTCCCGACTCCCTACGCTTCTGTGCTGTGCCAAAAGCATGCTCGCTCGCTTTTCGTACGTCGGACGACGCAAGCCGTTGTCCTTCCAACTTCCGAGTTGTGAAACTCAGTGGCCGTATGGTGTCCAAAGTGCGGTACTGTATTTACGGCACAGAAAGACGCCAAGGGAGCTGGAGTCCGGAGGCAACGAAAGCACGTGTTGGAACCGGGGAGAGGACATCACCCGGACTGGTCACTAGCGTGGACCGGAAGTCAAGATACCCTCCGATCGGATCAGTGGAGAATCCTCGGTCCGGACGCAGTGCAGAATCTATGCCTCTGCAGAACTATGCGGCACGACTGCTGCGGTCATCCGGGCACCGGTGCGTGTCCGCGGGTCGGGTAGACAGGATCTCTGAGCCCTGGTCTTCCGCCGGCGAACCTGAGCCAACTACCATCCCGTTCGAGGGCATGTTCCGGGGAGGGCAGCCTAACGTGCAGTTACGAAACTTTCGATGCCGTATTCTTCACCGACAACCTGCTTCCGTAACCCGCAGGCCCAGGGAGACGAAACCGTCCGACAGAACGCCTGACAGAAAGACGGGTTGCGGCCGTTATAGCCCAACGCAGTTGCGTTTGCGTGCGTCAGACGGGTCCCGAGAGATTCCCGAGACCCAGATGTTACGGTAAGCTTGCCGAACAGGCTGAGTCGAGTCAAATTTGGGGAACTGGTGGAGGCCATGGCCAGCCGAGAGGGAGGGGGGGGAGACTTGGGAACGGCAGCAGGCGGCGGCAGAGTGGTGGGAGTACATGCTGGATGCGTCGGGGTTAATCGATGGATTCGGTGCTGTCGGGGGTCCGTACATCCGGGCCTGCGAGGAGAGGAGGAGGACTATGCTGGTAAGGGCTATTATTTGGAAATTGGAGCTTTCTATAAATTGACCGCAGACGAGGTGGGGGACTGTGGGGGCAGCTCGAGGATGTCGTTTCCTGACTTGCTTCGTAGCGAGACCTGTTGGCTCTCGGATTGGCCGATTGGCGGACTGGAGCAAGCGACAGCGATATCATCATTGCTTTCGTCTTCGTCTCGGCCATCGTACTCCGAAGCAGCATGTTGGACGACGACTCGGGCTGCCTGATGTGGCGTCTCTGCACCGGCTTTTGGTAATGATTATCAATCCAGCTACTCGTGCATCCATCGTACCTCCACCCGTTCTCCAGATCCGGGAGGTTTTGAGAAATGTCGGAGCCTGTGATTGGCACCGCCATTGTCGTCGAGGAGTCTCAGTAGTTTGCACCGTTATGCCACTTAGTTGATTCTTGGATCAGACCTGCTTTGAAGGCAGGCTATGGTGCAATTCTTCACGAATTATCGATGAGAGATGAGAAAGCCCGGACGTAGCAAGGAATTGCAGAGCATTGCCTTCGGTTTTTTCATGCCTGGAATGATCGCCTACATCTCCCCCGGTGTCTGCTGAATTTGCTCGAGTTTCATGGGCTTTTCGAATTCTCTCGAGACCCTTCTCGAGGGTATCGGCGAATCGCGCTGTCAGTCTGGGATGGCTAGAAGCTTTCGATTTGGACTTGAAAATCGCATTGCTGCCCTAGATGTTTGAACTGATTAAAGCACTTGAATCAAGAAGGACGTATTTCTTTGATGCGAAAGAGAAGATAACCTCCCCCGCCCGGCATATCCGAGAGTTTGATCGTGGTGAGCCGCTGATGAATTGCTTCTTGTGCTCAAGCGTTGGAAAGCCTTGTGATTGTTCCGAGATTATCAACGCTTGCATGTCTATCTACGCTAGAGACGTCGTGCAGGAGCAGCGGTAGGCCGATGCACTCCAATGTCGATGTAGACAATCATTTGTAACGTGAGACGCAGACATGCAACATTGGATCGGCAGGGCGAGGCGAGGAAATCAAAATCCCGAGTAGGCCGACGTTTGCGGGACGACAGATAGTGCGTATGATCGGACGTATATGTGAGCTTGATTCACAGGCTCGTCCTACGGGGAATTCACCGCCAGATCTTCTGATGGCGTCGATTCGATGGTGGTGTCTGCAGATTGCATCGGAGCGCGAGGATGTCGCAGCAACGAGTCAATGGTGCGAGCAAGAAGGGAGACATGATTCCGATTTTTCCCAGAGGCGTGGAAAGGTCGTGGCAGCCACAACGACATGTGCTGATGTCGAAACTGATTCGGGGGACCTCGAGCCTCGTCGCCCGGCCTTACGAGAGATTGGCGAGAGGCGTCAGGACCCTGGCGCACCAGCCCTTGTTTTTGTACACTGTGTTCTGGACGTCGTTCTTGGCAGTGAGTGTAACAGTCGCAGCTGTTAGCTTGGAGATGGGATTCAGTGCCAGTGTATCACCGCACGCGGAACATCTGGAGGCGTGCACTCGGTACGGTAGCTCGAGTATCTCTTGTAACCACTGTTTCAGATTGCCACTTGATGGCCCCAACGATCAACTCTGCGTTCCAGCTTTGCGCTTCAAAAAGTCGAATCTAGATCTCGTAGTCCCTCCCATATTCGCCGGCCTCGTCGTGACAGGCTCGGCCTTGTTCGTCCAGTCTCTCTTCTTGTTTAATGAATAGCAAGCAGGCTTTTCCCCATGTCCTCTGATCTGTTCATAGCTTCTTCGTCGACCCCCACATTTGCCCTGACCTCGCGCGCTGGCTCCACGATGACTCTAGCAGAATTTCCCTGTGAAAGATACAGCAAGTCTGACTGAGCCTGAGGAACCGCCCAGACATTTCACCCGATTGAACCTGCACTGTGTGCGGTTGCCGAGATGTAGAGCACCTGATGATACCGTCAACTCGTAATTTCTAGTTTGTCGCCAAAATGTGGAGTGAAACTCAAAGGTCGTCGTCGCAGTGGTCCCCGATATGTGATTGTGGAAAAGCCGCGCTTTCTCGCTTGCTTGCCAGTCGGAGCCTTTGTACATTGCAGGATTAGCAAGTCCATTATATTAATCTCGAGGGATGCCATATTACACAATGTCGAGCAGTGGTAAGACTGCTGCTGCCTAGAAGGCGAATAAAGTCGAGGTCCTCGAGCCTTGATTGTTCGACGACGTACACAACGTTCTCGATCTTCTCCATTCTGTAGGTAGTGGATTTCTATCCACTACCTACAGATTTCAGCATTCCGGAAGCTAATAAATGGCAAAGCCGCTCTTTCATGATTCTCCCGCCCTGAAAGTGAACGATTAAACTCTTGTGCTCATGAAACATTCTAATTGCCCTCGAAGCCAGAGGTCAAGTTGCATACAGTGGTGTCATTCTCGATGTCATGGGTCGAGGCGATGGAATTCAACCGTAGCTATGGCTGTGCGATCGGTGTTTGAAGCAACGAAGGACTGTAGGATCTTCGAGAACTATCGCGTGAGGTGCAGATTTGTTTACTGCAGATCTGGCTCAAATTCAAAATCTGTATACCGCACTTAAAACAAACAGTGCATAGTCAAAGGTTACCTGAAGGAAACCAGGTCTACTTGTCCAGTCGCCACCCGGACTTCTCTGCAATTGACTCTTAGGTGCATCAACCTCCAGTCGGTTACCGATCGTTCCGTTTAGACTGCTTGCATGAAAACGGGTGTTGATCTTGGTGGAATAGCCAGAGTAGACCTGAGAATATACTGGTTCACGTGTTCTGGGAATTACTGGCAAAATCTTCCTCGAATTCCTCGAAAAAAAATTCCTCGAAGATTGCTCTCAATCGACAACACTTGCATCGACTCCAAGATCTTTCTTCTTGAGTTGCTCGTACTCAATATAGAAACTCATAGAAAATAGACATGGGCTCTTGAACTATGGGAGTGACTATACTATCTCTCTATCGGATTAGAAAGTAACTTAAGTATATATGTTATAAATAATTTTGTTAGCTAAAATTAAAGTCAGAATCAAATTATATAATTTTATTGATCATGTAAAGAAAAAAATCAATAATTTTTAATGATACTTTCATACAGATACAAGATGAGTTGATCACATTTTTCAAAAGTGAAAATGTAAACAAATTAGTCATTCATCTATGCATTTGACTTTATTATAAATTCATTCGATTTCATTTTGCAAAAACGTGAGCTATGAACATTTACAGTAGTTAGAAAAGATATAGTTGAAAGAATCTCACCTGAAAGTTGCACATTTGACTTTATTATGGACTTGTAGATTTTCATTTTGTAGAAGAATGTGCTATCCATCAATTTCTTAGATAGTGAAGATGCGGATGAGGGAGCCATGCTTCAATGTTGCGCATTTGACTTTTTATGGATACGTTGGAATCAATTTTGCAAAGTAGTATGTTCTTAATAATTCCGTTAGTAACAAACTACTAAATGTTTGTGAATTTCTAGACCCAAATGCTTTAAATCAAAATCTTTTGGACAAAATAATTGCTCCTTGTTTGTTGCCCTCTATTCTCCTAGGTTCAAAATCCTTATTAGAGTCTACACATTCCAAGCTAAATAATTTTTCCTGGCAAGTCTTCTATTCATGTTGGGAGTCTTTGGTCTTTTAGAGAGTACAGGTCAAGTCAAGTCACTATCACATATCATCTCTTTCTCTCTCTTATCTCCTATATCTGTTCAAAGCTAACATGGTGCAAAGTGAAGAAGAGGTATTAAATTGTGTCTCTTGTGACTTTTAGTATGAAAAAAGAAATCAAAGATGACAAGATTCCCTTATCGCTCTACATTTTCTTCAATTAATGGTTGTTGTCAATAAAAAATTTCTTTTATCTGCATCATATTGATTAGATTTTTGTTGTTGTCTTTAACATGGAGATTTAAAGAGAAGTTTATTTGAAGTTGAGACACACAATTTAAAAATCTAAAATCATACTACTCTTTCTTATAAAATATTCTTCTTAATATGTACAAAGCAATAAAATTTTACTTCCATTATCAGTTTCACTTGTAGTGGATAAAGAACAATAAGAATACAGATTGCGGACATGACAACTATAGATAATTTATGATAAATGTATTTTTTCTACATCTGTAGTAACATCTACATTATTTTTGATTAACAAAAAATGTTTACAAATCTTGTTAATTTTAAGATATAATGTTATTGTTTAACATAGACTTAAACTCTCAGACAATCAAAGTTGTATTAGTTAGATATATCAAGTTGATTCAGATAATGGGTTTTTTTCATTAAATCAAGTACTTTAACTTTGGAATTTTAATGATAAAAATAAAATAAAATAAGATATATGAAGTACAAGATGTAATTTATATGTCGAGAATGTCCAACTTGTATGATACTTTATCAACAACTTTTAATAGCATGAATATATAAATTAATCTAAGGTTAAACTTTCAATATTTTAAAGACAAAAGTTTGTTGCTGATTATCAGACATAAATTTCAATCTTAATATCAATTCTTTGTGATGAACATCTGCATATTGTCTGTGATCTATAAGCAATTTATCCTTGTCTTGATGTTGCTCTATGTGAATATGCTCCACATCAATATTCATTGTTGCTACTTTGATAAGATGTTCTTTTAGTTTTGAAGCATCATCAAACTTGACACAATTATAGTATGAATGTATTACATAAGGTAAAATGAAGACTCATTTGCGAATGCAATAACAGAAATTTGCATAATATTATATGCAAATTTATGCAAATTTTTTTAGAAGCATTTTGTTTTAGTTGCTACTTTAGTTCAAATGCATGCAACATATCATCAACATATTTTTTAATTCTTACTGTCTGAACATGATAGATTGTTAATACTAATAATTTTGTTTAATAAAATACTCAAGATTTTTCAATCAAACTAGTGAAATGAGTATCTTTATCATTTTGGTTTATTTTCAAAAACTTCATCTACATACAATTGAGCAAGTTATGAAAATTATTATAGATTTTGTGATGGTTCTCATCTTACTCAGTTTGTTCACAAAAATCATAAATCAATCAATTCATCATAATATTTTTTATTATTTACATACAATATTCAATAAAAAAAATCAAGTAAATTTTTTCTGACATCCTACTCAACTAATATATATATATATATATATATATATATATACATATACATACATACATACATATACATACATACATACACACACACGTAGTTTGGATAAAGATACATTTGTATGCTTTAAGTGTCTCACAATGTTTGTATCATGACTTTCTCACAACATCAGTGTGTGTAGCTCTTACTTGTTGAGGTTAAGTCCCGTTAAGGAGTAACTTAAGGTCCTAGCTATAATTAGTTAAGGCGGTCGTTTACACTAGGGTTAAATACCTGACTTATGCCTGTACATGAGGTAAGTCTTGTTTGACAAACCTAGAGTAAAAGTGCAGGGTCTTCTCTCAGTATACATTGCACTTTGAAATGGTGAACCACGTTATATTGTGTATCGAGTGTTTACTTTCAGCTGTGTGTTTTGTATTCATAATTGGTATTAGAGTTGATTTAGGTTCAGATTTTGTGAGAAACATTTGTGACTTTAGATTTATGAGTTCAAGAGACAATTAACTTTATTTTTGACATGTTACAATCGTTTTTATAATGGTCTCACTATGAAAGTTTGTTTATGATTTTCAAAACGATAACATTTTGAAGTTTTACGAAGTCAACTTTTGGCTTTTCAGACAAATTTCTGATTAGTGACAGTTTTGTCTGATTATGATTTCAAGTGAAGGAGTGCTAGATTTTGGTTTGGAAAATTAAAAGTGTTTGGGACTGTTGAAAAATTTTTCAAAGATGATGTGACAGTGTTTTGCAGGTTGTAGACAGATTTGTCATGAGGTGACAATTAGAGAAGTTATGTCAAGTTGCAAAAGTTCAAAATTTGGAGAAATTGTCAAGGTTTGAGAGAAAGTTTTGAACTGAAGAATTTGTGGAGGTTGGGATAAAACCGTCGATGTTCAGAGGCTTCCAAGTCTCGCAACAAACCGGACTCATTGCTCAAAATTTGCAATGTCAGTTTGGAGTGGCCTTCGTCCCAAAGTTCAAGACATCAAGGACTATTTGATGTTTGAGAGAGGCTCATGGACCTGGTACTACTGCGAACTGCGCTTTTCATGTACGGGAAATGTTTTTGGAGAGATCAAATCTTTGAGTCATGAGCCGAAACTCTCTTGCGTCCGTGGCCAAACAGGTGTCTTGCCAAAAAGCTGTGGGAGCTATTCGTCCATTGCATGTGGACGGAACTCATGCAATGGATGAATTCAGTAGTGCAGATCATGATTTGAGCCCTCAAGCACAAGCATGGAATGCTGCACGGCTTCCAAGTGCAAACTTATTATTCAATTGCAGTTCAGTTAGATAAATTGTGATACAAAAAGCGTTTCAATTGGAAGTCTTCATAATCCAGTGAAGAATGTATCGTCTTTGGCCGAACAAATTCTTCAACGCCATACTTGCAATGTCTGTCAATCACCTCTGCACTTGGCTAAAATTCATCAGAGTGGCGCAATGGAAGCAAAATCCGATTCTGATGATGGTGCCTAAGAGGAAGGAAACATGTCTGCATGTTTGAGTATGCTATCGTCTTGCATCAATATGACCACCTTCGAGAGAGCTTGTAAACTTCTGGAGGATGATGATAATAAGGACCTGTTTGAAGAACTCCGTTTTCCTCAGCAGATTTCCAAGCACAATTTTGAGCCATCTCTTGTATGACTCGGGAGGTTTTGACAAACATACACGTCCAACAGAGTTCTTACTCAAGCATAGCTGAGTCCAGGAAGTTGGAGGCTGCTCGATCATCTATATCAGCTTTAGTGGAAGATGATATGACAAATGTAGCTAAAGACTCTATACTTGCATCTCAGAAGTTGGAATGAGCCACGAGCAGAGTTGATGAAATAGCTAGAAGACGAAGAATGAAACCAAGTGCGCAACAGAGCTAAGTTGAGTAGCAAGGTTTTCAATGAGACGAAAGTTTTCTATGCTAAAAAAAGCATGAGATGAAGACGTTCATGAGCAGGTCGCTGGTTATTGGAGATGGATGGGCCAGAACAGGAGGATGGGAGATGAGTACACTACTAAAGTCATGGCGGTGTAGTGAGGGCAAAAGTTTGTAGCCCATATTCATTGGTTCCGAAAGATGAAAATGCGCGTGGAGGAGCTGTGAGACCGAATGTTTCACATGAGTACTAAGTTGTAGAAGTGATTAATGATTATTATCCAAGACACAACTAAGTCTAGCTAGTTATGACTAAACTAGTTGTAGTTAAGTTTTTCTCATGATGAATAAGTTTAGCTATAATGTCTATTTTTGGCGGAATAGTTATTGAGTTCTAGAAGATTGAGGTGAACACTTCTATTTTGTCTTTTACAAGATTTAGATTCCTATAAACTTGGATTTGATTGGTTTGACTAAATGTTTGAAAGATGATTGACTAGAATAAGTCTAATGC